AGATGGAAAATGGCGTTCAAATGATCTATTGACTACTAAATCAAGGTTCTTCCACTTTTAGGAACTTTTTTTTGGCTGAATATCGACTGCAGGCTTCAATCGTCAATATACAAATTTCCTGTTCGTTTTTTAGGATCTTTTCACTTTCGGTATCAAACGGTCCAGAATGGGAATATAATTTTTCATTGAATGGAACAAATGTTGTTGACTCAGTTTGAAGGAAAAAAATGTAAAGGTAGAAGTAGGTGGGATACACGTGGGTATTTAAAAACAGTTTAAATTAAACTACTGTCTTCAAACTCTTCTGTTTGAGTTCACCAAGGGCCGACCAGGTTGGACAGTTTAATGCTCATATTTTATATATCAAAACTTGCACGTATTTTCGAGGACTCTCTGTATAATAAAATAACCGTAATAAACAGTTGACTGATCCTCTGAGTTACTGAAATTTTAGTATTTAATTGTTAATAATTAAGAAACTTTGTTCAAAAAAAGGCCGGAATGTGGCAGTAAACAACTTCAATTTGGTTCAATTTAAAATGCTGCAAAATCAAAATTAATTTCGTATCGGAAAAGTTCCGATAATGGAAAATATCCACTTGGTTTTCCCTTTTTCCAACAGTCCGGCGGTTATTGAAAGGCGCAAGAATCCAAAAGTATTTAGTTTTCCGAGAATCAACACTGGCCTTAAAGAAACCTCTCAGAGTTATTAAATTTTGAAACTCCAAAATAGTTAAGAAGACTTTTCAATAATCATTTAGTACTTCTGCCCCTTAAATCACGCTAATATTTGACAATTCGAACATTAATAAACAGTCGAAGTTAAAACTGGGTGGCTTATTGTGGGGAATTAACAAGATAAATTAATATCCGGGCTTTTCTCATTTCAAATTGAAAAGCCATGGGGTGTAAAAAGCTGTTAATACAAAATACAGGAATGTAAAAGAAAACGCGCGGGGAATTCAATGCAAGCAGATTAATGAACCCGCAGAGAAAAATGTTGGTTTAATGATATAAATGAAAGTCATTAAGCCGAAAAGTACAATAGAAAGGGTGTCGCTCTTCGCTTTGGATCATCGGACAAAAGTTTTTATTCGTTCTTGACTTGAATCGTTGTTTCGACTCGTTTTGATATCGTTTCTATTGTACTCAGTGAGTTCGAATTTAAGAAAATGTTCGAGGGAAAACTGCCGATTTCAATGGGTTAAAAGTGCTGAATTTAGCTTCTCTATGTTATATTAATAGGGGGTTAAAATTTGGCTTACGGGATCAAAATTATTAATTGTTGCCGGACGACTGTGGAATTTTTTCAACCAATAACTGCCAACGAAGGTAGACATTTTCCAATGAAAACTAAATTTTGTGTTTTGTCAGTGGCATTTTAAAATATTTTACTTGAAAACGCGCAGTTGTAAGAAAAATTGATCAATAAAGTTTTCTTTGAAACTGAATGAAGAACCCAAAAGTGACTTATTTTGAATGTGCGCGTTTGTAGACAGTTCGTACCTGCAAAAATTCGTTTAAAAATTCCCAGGCCTTTGGCAACAATTATTAATTTGGATTTTTTAGGCTAACCTTAAACAGGGTGTCTCAGAAATAAGGACCGTAAATTCATGGGTGAATAGACTTTACCCAAAATATGAAGGAAATACGGGGCATCAAACTTTACCGTAAAAAGCAAAATTATAAATGTATGCAAAACAGTTTGAGAAATTTTAATCAAGCTTTATGGATAGGAAGGGTGTAAACACCCGGTATTTCCTTAATKAAATGTGTCTCGTATATCGCAAACTCGAAATACAGGGCGTCAAAGTGAAGACTAAAAATCGAACGAAACTGAACGAAAACGGATGATGAAGTAAAATAAATTAGAGACTGGGTAGCAAAGTTTCATTGAGAATAAATGTTCGCACACTTGAAGCAACTTCATTGAACTGAAAGCCAAAGAATACTAATCGTAGGCAGTTTTCCAAAGTTGGCCTGTAAAAAGTGGGTCGAATTGGGCGCTCAGCAAGTTCGCAAATAATCGTGTGACCGATAACAATTTATACCGTTCTCAACAAGAAAAATGTTTAAAGCTTTAACCTTTGCTTCGTTCGTTTCCGGCAATGAAGGGAAAAACTCAATTCCATCCATCAGCGATGGAATTCGCACGTCATAGTGAATCTGCGGCTCGCCCAAACTCACCCCCAGCCAGATTCGCCGAAAGAACGATATATATTTTGTCGAACCGGGATTTTTCTTATTTCAATGCCAAACTTATCTCTACGTCAACACGGAGATAATGCTTTTTGCCGGGTCGTAAAAAAGCCTCATTTCGGTTTGCTAATGGTTTCGACGTGTTCATTGATTGATTTTTTGGACGCGCGTCCGAATTGAAAGCCGGACGACAGTAAAAATTTTATTGCGACGTATTTTTGTTCTGTTAAAGGACGAAAGAACAAATTGTAACTGACGAGGAGACAGCCGGAGCTGGAGCGCTTCGCTTCCGCTTGAAAAAGACATACTTCAGCGTGCTTCAGCGATAACCCCTAAGATCTATATTTATGTATTCTCCGGCGAATTCAACTATAAATTTCCTTTCAGCTGCTAAAAGGGTGTGACAGTCACATTGTGTTTGCTCTAATTATCCAAGCAAATGTTTGCAGTTTTGTTTTGGGGAACGAGAAAACGATTTGTGTGCAATGGAAATTTCGAAATTTGCCCAGTTTGTTGGATCGAAAATTTGCCCAGTTTCCAGATTGAAAACCATAGAGAATCGAAAAATAATATATTATAAGTCTGCACTATAATGCAACTTATATGAAAATTCCACAGCGTGTTGGCTCAATAAAAATTCGTTTACTAATTCTTGCCAAACGCCTGTGGATGTGCGATACTGTAGGTACGAGCGCGAACATTTTACAATATAATTTGCAGTACCTAATTTAATCACAATTACTTAAATACACAACAATTTTTTTACAAACTTCTTTTTGGGTATTTCGCCTCAAAAATTTTTGTCTTTAAAAAAGACAGAATTTCCTCACGTCTTTTATTACAGATTG